TCCGATGGCTTGGCCCCAGCCCTTGTCATCTGGGCTGTATGTCCCCTGAGCCCTTTCTCTCAGCTGTGGCCTCCCACTGCAGTGACCTTTGGGCTCTTCTAGGCCCTCATCCCGCCTCCAGGCCAGTTGGGACTCTAGGCAGTCCAACTCTGGCTGTCCCTCACTGTGGGTTTCACACTTCGGCCCCAGAATAATCCAATCGAGGTCCTTGGTGTCAGTTATTCAGGCCACCAGTCCCATCACCTCTACAGGTCTGCCTTCTCAGGCCCCTCCATGAATCACTCTTTCTCTGCGGGGTCGAAGCCCTGCCTAGATCATGCTACTTTCTTCTCTAGTTTCTCAGGGCCTGCCACTGGGACTCTTCATGGTTTGCACCACTCTCTGGGTTCACCAAGGCCTTGAAAGGGATCTCAGCTGCTCAGGTCCTCATTCTGGACCCACCTGGACACTCCCTAGACCTGACAACTCTTATCCCCTCTCCCAGGGCTGGCATGGCCTCTCTCTAGGCTTCTGTATATACTTCTTTCTCTGGGCTGGCCTGGCCCTTGTGCACTCAGCCCCTTTCTCAGGCCTCCTCTGGGCTCTCAACAGACCCAGGCACTCCGCCTCCCCTTCCAAGGCTGTGGACCCCACACTGGGTCTCCAGAAACCTTTTTCATCCTCATAGCTCCTACCCAAATCTCCAAGGTGTCTCAGATGGTATAAAGGAGTAGCAGCCTTCCTTCTGGATAATGTTTCTTCCTCTGCAGTCATGTGGTTGTCTTGATCAGGCCTAGCCTCACTTGTTGGAGGCTCTGCAGCTTGCCTAACCCCTTAAAGTGGCAGGCACGCCAAGAGCCCTGCCACACAATCTAAATATTTTTTCTGTGAAGTCACTAACCATAACATCAACCCAGGGAACTTCAGTAAGGATGCAGATATTTCAGGAAACATAAGATTCTATCTTTGGCAGTAAGCAGAGTTTGGACCATTTAAAAATGAACAATGCCACAGGGAGAAACCGCTTGACATTCAGATGAAATATTAACACCAAATTCTTTGCCAGTTTCATGAATCTGAGAGCTCTGGAGGAGAATGAGGACCAGTCTCCATGACTTACAAGATCTTGGACACTGACAGCCTTAACATTGAAGAACACTGGGAACAACTAGTGGCACATGAACCTCAGAAGAACTGCAGGCAGAGTTTAGATATATATCTACACCTCATTAACCTATACAACGGTCTGAAAAGCTAACAGAAAAGGCTTTTTAGCAGAGGCATTGTTCCTTCAAATTTAGCATCCTGTCCCCAGTCATGGTCAATATGTAGTATTTCAATAGGGAAAAAAATTCTCCGTGTATCTGGTCATTTGTGGAATCTGTCATTATAGGGTGCATTATAGGGCACATCCACACATGCAAGCACATGTGCTTGGAGCAGCTCAAATAGAAGCGGTGCAAATTTGAGCCAGGGCTTCTTGCATCAGCGCAAGTACTTGGACATACACTTTGGTGTGGAGCAAATTGTGCCACTTGGGGCAAAATAACCCTGCCTGGCTCATCCCGGATCTGCAGCCAAGGGGAGCTAGAGCCCGGGGCCAGCACCTGTGCTGTCCCCAGCAGTATAAAAAGCTGCCCTGTCCTGGCCCCATCCATACAAACGCTGCCCTGGCAAGTAGCTCAGGGCTACTTGCTCTCTGGAGCTTCTGGGGCCCAGCCAATTGATACCTGGGGACACTACCCCTTGTGCCAGCTAGACTGCTGCAGCAGCATCCCAAATCCATTTTTAAAAATACCCCAAAATCCATGTTCTTCCACATTTAAAACAAAAACCCACTCTATACACACACACACACATCTAGAGAGAGAGAGAGTGTGATACATTGGGTAATGCTTTATTGGTATATTTACAATGTTAAAGCAATTTGGAAGCCTACCAGTGTCTCTATCATCATGAAAAAATAAATTCTAAATACCTGTATGTGTTGATGTGTGCTTTTGGTTTTCTTCATACATGATGGGTGTGTGATGGGGGGGATGTGGTGTTAGTAGAAAGGGGGTGAGAAGGGGTGTAGGGGAAGGCGGGTGGGTGGATGTGGAGGGATGTGGGTTGGTCTGTGGATAGGAGTGGGGCAATTGCTGGGAGCACTGTGGGTATGGGGACCTTGTGTGGGGGCTGCTCAGGAGGGGTGGGCCCCTGGTCCCCACAGGGTGCAGGCCCCCTAGCACATGGAATGCCCCCGCCTGCCCAGGGTCCCAGCTCCCCCCTGGAGGGCCCCAGCCCCCCTGCCCAGGGCCCGTATCTAACCTTTAACAGCAACAGCGGGGGGGACCATGCACTGAGCCCAGCCTGGTTCTGCCGGCCCTGGGGCTACTCTTGCCGCCTAGCCAGGCTGGTCTTATGGCAGCAGGACCCAGTGTGGCACGCAGGGACCGTGTGCCAAGACCAGCTGGGTCCTGGGCCCCTCTGCAGCCCTGCCGGGCTGGGCCCATGGTGACAGAACCCAGTGCGGCATGCGGGGACCATGTGCCAGGCCCAGCTGGGTCCTGGGCCTCCTCTGCAGCCCAGCCAGGCTGGGCCCAGATCCCTGAGGCTCACTAGTTAGGGTTTGCACCAGAGTGGGTCGCACGGCTCCGGGAGGTGCGCACAGGAGCCACGCCTCCCGGAGCCCTGTGACCTGCTCCGGTGCAAGGCCGGGCTAGTGAGCCACATGGGGCTGGGCCAGGTCCTCACCCCCCTGCAGGCACAGGGAGCAGAGGCGGGAGATGGCACTGGGGCCCAGCCCATGCTGACAGGAGCCGGCGCGGCATGCGGTTTCCACATGCCACACCGGGTCCTGCTGCATCCAGGCCTTTCCTATAGCTGCAGGACCTGGCCTGGTGCTCGGGGACTGCGTGGAGCTGAGCCAGGTCCTGCTGGCCTTGAGGCTGCTCGTGCCGCCGGGCGGTATGAGCAGCTCCAAAGCCGGCAGGACCCAGTTCAGCTCTGTGCAGTCCCCGTGCACCAGGCCGGACCAGGGAACACGAGCCGCCTGGGGCCAGCAGGATGCAGCTCAGCTCTGCACGGTCCCCATGCACCAGGCTGGGCCGGGGAGCATGAGCTGTGCAGTCCCCAGGCGGCTCATGTTCCCTGGCCCAGCTCAGAGCATGGGGACCATGTGGAGCTGAGCTGCGTCCTGCCGGCCCCAGGTGGCTCATGTTCCCCAGCCCGGCACGAGCAACTGCAGGGCCAGCAGGACCCGGCTCGGCTCCACGCTGCACGCCAGGCCAGGTCCTGCAGCTATAGGAAGGGCCCGGCCACAGCAGGACCTGGCACGGCACGTGGGAACTGCATGCCGCGCTAACTCCTGTCAGCATGTGCCGGGCCCCAGGGCCGGTTCCTGCCTCTGCCCCCTGTGCCTGTGGGGGGGTGAGGACCTGGCCCAGACCCATGTGGCTTGCTAGTCCGGCTTTGCACTGGAGTGGGTCACAGGGCTCCGGGAGGCATGGCTCCCGTGTGCACCTCCCAGAG